TGATATCCTGTAATTGTTAGGGCTTTGAAAATGTTTTAAAACCCTGCTGTTTGTTGTAAGAAAGTCAATCTTAGGGAACTGGGTTCTTTTTAGGGGGTTTCCTACTCATCAGAGGTAAGGAGAAAGAATCCTAGAAAACTGTTGTTTGCTGTATCTAATTGTAGAACTCGGAGAGGAAGTAATGAGAGAGGGGGTGTCTCTTTTCACAGTCCAGTCACAACTGGTGGTCCTGGAGGGCTCATTGCATAGGCAAGGCAGAAGAGGACTTTGGGTCTTTCATTCATGAAAGAATGAGCTTTACTTCTTTTGGTTCTGGTGTTTGTTTCCTGTTTCTGTCACTGACTGGGAGGAAAGGTCTGATTTGGTGACAACCTGTCTGACTCACTGTTAAGTTCAGAGGGCAAGGTAGACAAGGCTACTCATTTTCTTAGGTTATCTCCAGAGCAGTGCCTCTAAAATGTGTCTGTGAATGCTAAGTCCTTCAAAGATTCCACCCTGGTTATTTACAGAGCCAGAGGGCAAAGGTTAGGCATGCCAATTCTGCTGCCACTTAATTTGGCTGGATCTGGGCTGGGCCTGGGGCCCAGTGACTCAGGGGGAGGTTGGTGAGTTTCGAGGGAGCTGTGAGTCATGAAGATGAGCTTGATCTCAAGAGTTACTCTGGGCAAAAGCCCTTCTAGCTCATTTCTTAGGATGCTGTGCTTCCCCAAACAGCAGAGGCCTCAAGCCCGATCCGAGAAGAGGTTCAAGATACAAAGAAATAAGGCCTAAGTCCCTGAAATGTAAATGTTTTCCTGTCTCTGTGCCCCTGGGGTCTCTAACAAAGACAAAAAAAAAAAAAAAAAAAAAAAAAAAAAAAAAAAAAAAAAAAGCCCACTCTAAACCATCTCTCAGAATGGATGGAGATAAGGTACAACCAATGTTAGGTCTTTTCTTCCTCTCTGACCTACTGGATAGCAACAACCCTCTCACTTGGAGCGGCGTTTAGGAATGCTGGGAGAGGTGAATAGGCTTGGGGATATCTAGGGTTGGGTTTGGTATGAGAAGAATAGGCTGAGTTGGAGATTGTTGAGCTGTATCAGTAAAAGCCCTGGAGCTTCCTTTTTATTTACCCCCTCAGAACAGGAAGGGTGGAGGAAGAACGTTTGTTGAGACGTGAGAGGACGAAGACTGAAGGGGTTAAATGGCAGGGCAGAGAATTGCTTGAGACTAGGACAGAAAAAGGGTTAAGAAGGTGGGCGGGGCAACATTGGGTAGGCCTGCCCTTATGTGGACCAATAGAAGTGCGCCCCTTGGAGAGGGCGTGACTCACACTTGAGGTTGCTCAGAGGCTGGGGGGGGGGGGGGGGGGGGGGGGGGGGCGGGGTGGGGGGGGGGGGGGGGGGGGGGGGGGGGGGCCAAGCAAGAGCAAGGCTCTCAGCCTAAGCCACCCTTTGTCTGGGTTGGGGGCCCGTAACAGGGGGACTGGTTATCCGAGGGGAGGGACCGGGACGGGACGGGACGGAAGGGCCCGG